GGGAAGATCCCACATGCCGCGGAGCGGCTGGGCCCGTGAGCCATGGCCGCTGAGCCTGCGCGTCCAGAGCCTGTGCTCCGCAACGGGAGAGGCCACGGCAGTGAGAGGCCCACATACCGCAAAAAAAAAAAAAATAATAAGGAAATGCTCAAAACAGATATAGTCAGCAGTTCTGCTACTGGGCATGTGGTCACTGCTGGTTGGTTACTTACCTTCCTACTACCCACCCCATATTCCCTTTGCCCTCAAGTGCCTCGGCTGGCCGTGGTTCTTTTCCTGGTGGGGGAACCTAAACCTTTATTCCTGAAGAGTCTGGACCATTAGCAGTCCTGCCTGAATTTGCTTGTGGAGGTTATCCATTGACTTTAATCACAGGGTTTGGTTATACTCAGAGGCACCTTAAGTGTCTTCTATGTTCTAGACGTGTTCCTGCTTACGTCTACTGTATCCTAGCACCCCCTTCCCCTTAGTGGTCGGGATCAGTCCCTCCAGCCGGTACAGTCACCTCCTTCTTTGCCTGTTGATTCGGAGGCATGAGGAGCCCAGAGTGGCGGGGTGGCCATCTCGGCTTCCAGTTCAGTGGAATCATTGTGTCTCCTGGTGGGGACATTCCTCTCTTTGGAGCTAGGACCTCTAGAGCAGCGGAGCCAAGCATGTTGTTAGTGGACCCGAGAGGTAACGGTGTGTGGAGCCACTCCCGTTCCCACTCCTGGATCCTGGGAGAGGCAGCGCTGGTGCTGGAGGCTGATTTCGGGTGTATACCGCCTCCTGGGGGCCATGCCCCCACCCCCGCAAGGTACTTCTCGGAGGTGGCAGTGTGAGTGAGTCTTCAGAAGGCCAGTCTGCAGTTCTGTCCAGCCGGCTCCTTCTATGGGGATGATTCTATAGTGAGAGTAGTTCAGTGAAAGAGGGGAACAAATTGAAGAAACTGAAGCCCTTCGTGCTTTTTGCTATAAATCCTTTCTGTCAAATTTAGCCTCAAGTTTAGACTGTATTTAAATTTGAGCTCGGGGATCATTTCCTTATTATAGTAGTAGTTTTATCTGGATTATCTGTTTATCTTCAGTCAAACTTGTTTATTTTTTTAAGTTTATAATTTTAAAAATATGTGAAAAAAACTAAATTGTGTTCAATGTAAATTTCTTTTTCTAGGCAGCAATCCCTGTTCCACGTTCTTGCTGCATATTCTATCTACAATACAGTAAGTTGGAGCACGCCTGCCCATAGCTTTTTGAGTTGTGCTCTGAGCACCTGGAGAAGATCTTTGGGCCTCCCTCCTGACAAGGCCCTTTTGGCCTGCATTGCTTCATCTCAGGACTGGATGGTCTCCAGGTCTCTGTGGATCTTCCTTAGGCTCCCGTGGCCCCCCTGGCGTCTTAGAGCAGAGCTGGTTGGGAAGTGGAAAAACCACAGTATGACAGCGAAGCTCACTTTCCCCCTCTTTCTCCAGACTGTTTTGTTACATTTTGTGTTGTTGTTTGTCTTGTTTTTATTTTAAGCAAGTAGGACTGGAATGAGCAGTCTAGAAGGACAGGAGGTGGTAGCTAGGTTAATTTCTGCCTCACTCTTGGTGACTCCTCATTGCCCCGGGAGGTTGCCTTTCAGGATCACATTTCATTTATTCAGTGAGGACCAGGTGGGAGACCATATGTACCTACTTGCTATCTCCTGGAGTAGGCCAAAACTAAGCTTTTAGGTATTAGAACATGTTATTCTTAAGACATTGATTACTCTGGGGGGAGAGAGATTTGGGGGGAAAGATCAACTAGCGTCGAAACCAGTGTAGATGCCAAATAAATGCTTGTTGACTAGATTCCAGGAAGGACACCTTGAACCTTGGGGTGTATCATTTCTGTTATAGGCAAAACCTTTAAGTTACAAGGGACAGAAATTCACTCAAACAAGGGCAAGTTAAAAAGGGATTGATTAAAGGGACTTCTCATAGAAATGAAGCTCAGGGGGTTTGGAGCTGGAGAGTGAGAAGCTTCCAGTGAGAAGAGCTTCCCTTTCTCTCTCTCCCACTCTGTGGCCATGTGGTAACTCTGATTGTCTCTGGGAACTGTTCGTTCCACTGTTTCTCTCTCCAGATTGCTTTCTTTGTCTGCTTTTCTGTTTTTCCAAGGCTAGTATTGCACCCATGGACTCAGCATGACCATTCTGTTCAAGTACATACCACCATCGGATTGCAGTCTCTGTGGTTTTATTCAGTTTTCTTAGAAAAATTAGTAAATTAGTCTTGCAGCCAATTAATTGTTCCCTGGGGCCAGGTGTCCTCTGCTCCATCAGCTTTGACTCACATGGCACAGACATGAATCTCTAAGGCCATGTTATAAGCAGGGATTATGGGGAGAGTGGGCAGTTCTCAGGGAAGGAGCATAGGCTGGGTTGGTACCCCGCAACGTGTCTGTATAAGGGTCCGAAGTCTAGAGGAGAAAAGACAGCACATTTGGGAACTGTATAAGGAGAGAAATTTGCCAGCATCTGAGCAAAGAAGAGGACTATTGAGCTGAGAATCGCACACGAAACAGAAAAATAAACAGCCTTTACAGAAGGTGTAATGGTACTTACTGAACAGGGCTCAGTAAAATCCGCGTAGGTTAAACTTGCCTGTACTTCCTTTATTCTCCAATACCAGGTGCATTCTTTGATAGTGTGTGGCTCAGTGCTGTTGAGATTGTAATATTTCTCTATAGAATTGCCATTAAATAATGTGTTTAGGCATTTTCTGATTATTTTCTACATCAGTTTTTTTATATGTGCATGTACATGTAATTCGATCTGAAAACCCCCAGTTTCTCTGTTCTCATTTTCTCTTTAGGAAGTTGGATACTGTCAGGGGATGAGCCAGATCACAGCTTTACTCCTCATGTATATGAACGAAGAAGACGCCTTCTGGGCCCTGGTCAAACTGTTCTCGGGCCCCAAACATGCCATGCATGGTAAGAAAACCCCATAGTTGATCATCAGCAACAAATGAGGGAGGGAGAAAAAGGCAAATTCAAACAAAGTCAGACTTTGGAAGATGATAGGTAGGGTTAAGTACAAAAAAGTGTTTAGGGGCTTCTTTAATTCAGTAGTGTTTGTTACTAGTTTCTTATTTAATTCTTCTCTATTTCTAAACTTTTCTGTTCACATTTATATTCCTTCGTGTTTACTACAAAGTATACTGTTGACATTTTAAAACTCTTTCCTTACTTGGCGCAGTCAGGAGAAACTAATTTAGGTTTAGAAGAAGTTTTAGGAAAAACTGAATTATTGAGAGCTTTTGATCAAAACTTTTAGACAGTCATGCATTCAGTGAAATGTCTACTATTGACTGGATATTGTGATGTCTGCTTCTTTGTCAAAGAATATTAGTTGAGAAATGACACTTAGGTGTTTAAAGGAAAGGTACACCGTAATTAAGTAGTTTTCTATTTCATGTGTGTGTTTCAGTTCTTTCAGCCTTAAAGTTGACTCCATTTTACAGTAAAAAGGCTGATAACATACTCTGGGCACTTTAATATTTCAAAACTTGCATAATTTTTTGGTTTTCAAGTTAGAAGGAGGTTTTTAATAACGTTTTCGTTATATTTGCCAAGCATATGCAGTAAACTTTACTTGCGAGAGTTTGGATTGCAGCTTCTCTTGGAAATAAAAGTGGCATTTGTCCATATAATGCAAAATTATTTTCCCAGTGCCACTGCGTGTGATAATACCAAATTAAAAACAATTTTAACAGTAATCACTCTGAGAATGGACCATCTTAGTTCTGTTTGTGAATGTTAAAGCTTTATGTGGTAGGGAACCTGCCACATATTAAAGTAATATTTTGAATTTTCAAAAGTATGACCTTCCATAGTCCATAGTTTATTAAATCTCACATTCTTACCATGTGGTTATTGTGGGGGCATTGTGTGTGTGTGTGTCTGTCTGTCTGTCTGTTTCTCCCTCAGTGTTCCCTGTGAATCTTTTCAAAAATAAATACTATCTGCATGATAACTGTTTCTGGTCACTTCACATCCCATAAAGAGACTCCAGTAGTAAGACACATTATATTGAGCTGCCGTCCAATAGACAGTATCATTTCAAAAGGCATCTTGAAGAATAACTCTTCTTTATCAGTCTTCATTTTGCTTTACCCTGAGATGGTGTTGCTGATATATCTTGAAGTTCAGTGGAATGTTACGGTTTAAGTAGTATGTAATTGTGTGGAATACGCCCAATTTTAGAAAATTCATTCTTTTAAACAAACCTGATAGCTTGCTTTCAGTAATTATTGTCACCAGTCTAATCTATAAAGCAGTATTAATTTTACTATCCTAACATTTACATTACCGAAGCAGTTTAGGTCATTATTATGGGTAAGTTTGTGCTTAGAGATATTTGTTTCAAAGTCTACCTGTGAAATTATATAACTGAAGGTTACCTCAGTTCTTTGCATTTCCTATATGAAAGCGGTATCACTTACAAATGTGTAGAATAAAGTGAGGGCTGAAGTAAATGAGATTTAAAATATAAAGTCTGGGACACCACTGAAAAGTGAAGCAGAGTTGGGTATCTTAGCACCCTTGGGTACTTGTGTATTACTGAAGGGATTGCCTTTTTCAAAATCAGACTTGTTCTTGAAATTCTCCCAACTCCCGTTCCTATCAAATTGACCACGAAAGTGGCACAGAAAGAGAGACATGGATTTTTTATGGACTCACTTCACTGGACAGTGTTATGAAGGGAGGAAGTTGCTGTCCGGGAAGTTCTACACGCGCCTTGGAAAGCGGAGAATTAGCCAAGAAGTAGCCCTTCCCTGAAGATTATAAAGCTGTTTCCCAGCAGTGTGTTCCCTGGGTTCTTGGAGGGACGTAGTTTCACTTTTTGGAAACAGGTGTGCTGTGCGGAAAAATGGACTCCAAGAGCCAGTAAGGCTGGGAGATGAGCTAAACAAAGAAAACCAGGTTTCTTTAGTGCATAGAGCAACTTAGAAACATTCAGAAGTTCATATGCCTTGTGAACATAGGCAAGAAGGGTATATATAACACACAGTATTTCTCCTGGATTCTTTTAAAAACAGAACATTTAGTAACATCTTTCAAAGTTAGGTAGAACCCAGGTTGGAAAACGCTAATGTGGATAAATCATAAATTTATTGTGTATGCATCCTTTTTAACAGATTATATAGAATATCTGAAAGGAAATTTTTGAATGAAAATAGATGTAAAGTTCCATGACTTAAATACACAAAATTAATACTAACTTCCCATTTACAGTTACTTCCTAGAAATCTTATAGATTATATTGTATAATCAGTTGGGATAGAATATATTAACATCGATCATATAGTGCCCGTATGTTTTAGCTGATGTTAAGTATCACTTACAGAAAGGATTAAAAAGTGATAATAACCTTGGCATGGTACTGGAGTAAGCCTGAAAAGGGTAATAAAATGTTTGCTATGTAATGTATTAATGGTAAAACAAAATAAGTAATCAAGATTAGAATAACTTATAAAAATGTACATATAAGACATGACCCAGTACTTCAAGGGAACAGATAATCTTGATAAATGGCCTCAGTTTCCATTTTTTCTTAGTTTCCCTTTTAATTCAGAAATATTCTGTCCTCTTTTATACTTTTACAAGGATATAGAGAAGATCCTTAGCAAACACATACTAGACTGTAAGTTTCATTAGGCAATGCTTATACACAATTGTTTCCTTGGAGGGGAGGAAAAATATTTGGGTGATTACTGGATTCGTTGTTCTTGTTGTTGTTGTTGACAGTTAAAAGGTGAAAGAAGCATGTTGCACTTTGAAATAGAGAATATCTGTTGCTATTGTTTATGAAGTACTCTTTTTATGTTTATATTCTAGGATTTTTTGTCCATGGTTTTCCCAAACTCTTGAGGTTTCAAGAACATCATGAAAAAATACTGAATAAGTTTTTGTCCAAGCTTAAGCAGCACTTGGTAGGTAGATGTGACATTGACTTACACCCACCTACACCAAGAATAAAGCTAGAAGACTTGAGTGCAGCCGTTGGTCCCAATTACCCTATTGATTTATAGTCTTGTCCATGTCATTTACTGAGCAGTTGTAATTCCCAGTTGTTTAAAGGACGTTAGATTTGTGAAATTTAGTACGGATGAACTATCACAGCCCTAACTCATGGAATCAAACTCTGAAGCTGATATATACGAACAATATAGTTTTTAAGGATGTGTGACTTCTCAGTGATTTGGGAGGTTTTTTAATCACACTAAAATATTTTAAGAGTCATACAAACTCATCCTCAGTGAACCATATACATGCTGTCCTGTAAAACACAGTAATTTAGTAAAGCAAGGATACGTCCCTTTAGAATATACTAAAGAGAAGCAAAGTGTTGTATTGCAGTCCTATCTTATGAAGGGTTTATTCTCAGGGTGATTTTCAAAAGTAAAATTGAGGGAGAAGAGGGAGTGAGGAGAGAAGCGGAACTACCCCAGCACGAGAGGGATTTGTAATGAATGGTTTTGTTTAGCTGTGACAGCTACCTCCAAAAACCTGCCTAACTTTTAGTATTATATTGTCATATTTTGTGTGCTGCAATCCAGAAGTGGTGAAGTCTTTGTTTTTTCCAGGATTCTCAAGAAATCTACACAAGTTTTTACACAATGAAATGGTTTTTTCAATGTTTCCTTGATCGGGTGAGTATTTATTTACAAAGCCCAATCATAAAATTACAAATACCAGCCAAGGGCAAACTGTTAATCTTATTTCTGTTTTGTTTTCATTGTAGACTCCCTTTACACTAAACCTCAGAATATGGGACATCTATATCTTTGAAGGAGAACGAATTCTTACTGCTATGTCTTACACAATCTTAAAATTACACAGAAGTAAGAAAATGTTTAATTATAAAGATTTCACAAAAACCTAGCCTTGTTTTAACTTTGATTTCTCATTACCCACCCAAATTCAAATTCATTTTCTTTCAGTAATGAGTTTAAAAAATTCTTGGAAATCAGTGAAATTATCTTCATTTGGCACTTTACTTTCACTGGTTCTTCCTCATGACCAGGAAAACGTCTTTGATTTTTTTTCTCTATGTCATTTTCATCTTCACCCTTCAGTAGAATGCAGTGTATATGTTTCACTAATGATAATATTCCTGTTAGTTATCTGTTTCCACGGGGGATCCCTTATTTCTTTTCATTGGTCTGAATCTCAGGTTTGTAGTAGGAAAAGGGAGAGACCAAAGAAGCCAGACCCCTTAGCTAAAAGGGCTAGTGAGGACATTTTCCTTTACTGTGTCCTTCACCCAGGAAAAAAGCATCCAGCCCCATGCCGTAGACCAGAGATGGGGAACCTCCAGCTCATCTCCCTGTTTGGCTGCTTTGCGGCCTCTGAAGCAAGTACAGCCCATGTCCACAGTTGCCCAAATGTAACACAGGCTTTTTTTTTTTTTTTTTTTCATTTTAACATCTTTATTGGAGTATAATTGCTTTACAATGGTATGTTAGTTTCAGCTTCACAACAAAATGAATCAGTTATAAATATACATATGTTCCTATATCTTTTCCCACTTGTGTCTCCCTCCCACCCACCCTCCCTATCCCACCCCTCCAGGCGGTCACAAAGCACCGAGCTGATCTCCCTGTGCTATGCAGCTGCTTCCCACTAGCTATCTACCTTACGTTTGGTAGTGTATATATGTCCATGCCTCTCTCTCGCTTTGTCACAGTTTACCCTTCCCCCTCCCCATATCCTCAAGTCCATTCTCTAGTAAGTCTGTGTCTTTATTCCTGTTTCACACCTAGGTTCTTCATGACATTTTTTTTCTTAAATTCCATATATATGTGTTAGCATACGGTATTTGTCTTT